CATACTTAGATTACTTTGCGTAAAACGACCTAAATTTAGCATATAAATTTCCTAAATAACAAGTTGCTGCGACTTTAATCAAAGTTTATATTTCCTAAACGGAAAATGCAGAACATTAAAAGTACATATGTATGTAGGTGTTTATTTTCCGTCGAAAAAGCCCAGTTAAACATTTTGTTAAAATTGACCCACAGAGGGTTAAAGGTGATAATGTGCCAGTGGGAGCAAAATCGTGTGGGTGTGATAGGGGCCCCACTACATTCACACCGAAACACAGATACTAATACACTCAGGTGCGCGAAGCCATTTGCCCAAAGCAAAAGCCGAAAGCAAAGTGCAACGTAAAATGTTAAAAGGAGAGGAGAATAGAAATATTGCGGTGAAAAGAGGTACGGGTGGTTCAATAAGAGGCGGGGGCAGGGGCTCATAAATGGGGGAGCTGAGGTGGAACGGATGTCCGGTCCCCGTCGATTGGAGGTAAAACCTCTTTTCAATAGGGGTACCAAGAAAGCAGAGAAAGAACAAAAAAACTAAAAAAAAAAAATATCAAGGAAACTCATTTTCACAACAATTTAAACTTATTTTTTATTCAAACAATTTTATTCGTTTAAGTGGATTTAAAAATACGTAAGTAATACTTTAGACGATCACCAAAAACATGTAATATAAATAAACAAATACATGTGTATTATTTGAAAAGCTGACATTTTACAAGAAGCGATTTCGTTTTATTTCTTATTTTCTAAGAATGCAACCCTGCAATTATAGTCTGACCTTTTGTCCAGTTCCTAGTGCCCATTCTTTCTTTCCCAATATCGCCAAGCTTTTCCCTGCGCAACCGTGAAGCTTGCCAAAATCAAAGCAATTCGCAAGGCTGCCCCTCCACCACCCTTTTTCGAACCACCCACAACCTATCCTCCTTTTTCATTGATGGTTAAGCGAACGGTTTACATACACCTACATACCATACAAACGGACGACGCACACATGCAGGCACATGTTTAGTCGTGTTTACATAGCAAAGCGCTCACGAAACGGGGCCTCTCGTAACGTTCGCTTCTTACGCCATCTCCTTCTGTCTTCTTTTTCCCCCTCTTACTTTCTCGCTCACACTCTTCGTTCGCATCGATGACGACTGACGACGTCGAATGCGTATGCCCACCACTACAAATGCACATTTCGCACACTGAAACCGTTGCACATAGCCTCGTTTATACGTATGTATGTATATACAAATGTACATACATGTAGACCTAAATACATATACATACATATTTATGTATATTCACGAACCATATGGGCTTGTACAACCCATTATTAGAAGGGGGTTTACATAAAAGATAAGGAAAAACCAAAAAAAAAAAAAAAACCGACAAAAATACGTCCATAATAAAATACGGGAAAGACCCACACACTGCTGACTAATTAGCAAAGCAAAACACCTCAAATCAAAACCCCCACTCAAAATTAAGAGATGCAACCAAATAGAGAGCGTAGAGAACGAATGAAGAAATGAAAGACACAATGGGGAGTTCGTCATATAGCCAAAGCTGAATGAAAATCATAAACATCGTTTTCAGCAATTAATACCTTAGGAGTTTACGGTCGATATGCGTAAACTCTTAAAAGTAAGTTTGTTTTTTAGGTAAGTTTTGTTTTAAAATTATGTTTTTTTTATTTTCTGTTCAATATGCAAATTATCTTGTACATACATACAGTATGTCAAGAAACTCTTTACACACAGACAAAAAAAAATATTTTTTGACTTTGCATGCAAAAAAAACGCCTTTAGCTATTCTTTTTCAATATTTTTTTAATGAAGAACTATTATTTAAAGAATTTAAAATAAGAATGTGCAAAAATAAAAACAAAACAACGAAAGGGAAAATTTTAAAGCAACAAAATATAAGTTTACACATTTTTGACTCTGTCAAGAAAGTGTTTACACAAAGTACTTAAACTACTGTTTAATGAATATATTTATCAAATTGTACTATCTTTAACTAATTTTAGTACTTAGTATGACCCCCCTTAGCTTCAACTACGAGCTTAATGCGATTTTTCATGGAACTGACCAGTTTTTGTAGGTCATATTCCAACGGAATTTTATGCCACTCTTCCAGTACTGCTGCTTTTAAGGCGGCGCGGTTTTTGGGCTGCCTTTTTGCCACTTTTTTCTTCAGATAAACCCACAAATTTTCAATGGGGTTCATGTCTGGGCTCTGAGGAGGTGTATCTATGACCTTTTGGCAATTGTAAAGGAGCCATGTGCGCACAGTGAGCTCCTTATGTTTGGGGTCATTGTCCTGATAAAACTTAAATTTTGGCTTATTATCAACAATAAAGCCAAATTTGTCTGCACTTTGCTTTAAATTGGATTTGAGAATGGATAGATATTGCACAGCATTCATAGTGTTTTCAATAAACGCAAGCTCTCCCACTCCCTTGCTGCTAATGCATCCCCAAACCATCACCGACAATTTGCCAAATTTTACTGTCGGAATGATGTTGCGCTGATCTAGAGCTGTTAAAGGCTTCCGCCATACTCTAGTTGGTCCATCATTGTAGTACAGCATTATTTTGGTTTCGTCACAAAATATGACGTCATCCCAATAGTTGTCCGGCATGATGTTCATGTTGACAGCAAAAGTTAAGCGCTTTTCAATATTTACTTTTGAAAGCAACGGCTTCTTACGCGCAACCCTTGAAGAGTATTTGTGCCGCAGGATTTGTTGGCGGACGGTTTCATGTGAAACGACCGTGCCACACTCTTCTTCCAACTCCTTGGCAAGGGTTCTGGTCGAAATTTGGGGGTTTTGACGGACCTTGCGCATGATAAGGCGGTCTGTTCGCTCGTCAATCTTCTTCCTTCGTCCACTTCCACGCTTTGCTTCCAGTCTATCTTCGTTTTGGGCTCGATTTAAAACGTTATAAATTGTTTTTCTCGATACAGAAAACATCTTCACTAGCTCAGCTACTGATTTTCCAATTTGGTGATTATAATAAATCAATTGGGTAACTTCATAAGTCAATCTAGCTCCAGGCATGTTAAATAATTTTAAAATTTGCTTTTTGGCACCTATGCAGCAAGATTTCACAATTAAATGAAAAGGAATGCAAATAAAATGCATAGTGCAGAAGCATAAATAACGGTAAAGTTCCGATTTTTCTTAGAATAGAACAAAACAGAATCGAAAACTAAAGTGTGTAAACACTTTCTTGACAGAGTCAAAAATGTGTAAACTTATATTTTGTTGCTTTAAAATTTTCCCTTTCGTTGTTTTGTTTTTATTTTTGCACATTCTTATTTTAAATTCTTTAAATAATAGTTCTTCATTAAAAAAATATTGAAAAAGAATAGCTAAAGGCGTTTTTTTTGCATGCAAAGTCAAAAAATATGTTTTTTTGTCTGTGTGTAAAGAGTTTCTTGACATACTGTAAATATTTCATCAAATAGCGATCAATCCTAGAGTTTTTCACAATTATTAATTGGAAAGAATTTCAAGGTAAGCTAAGTAATAAATTCTAGTTGCTTTAATTTTAAGTTTTAAGCCTTCTCTTATATTATATATGTATGTACATATAAAAGGAGATAAAATAAAGTCTTAGATCTTCATTGGAATTGCGTTGACTGTACTTTTCGGGTAACTAAAAATAGCACTAACAGTTTACCAATATTACAAACATCTGCTTTGATCTGACTGTACTTTAACAACTAGTTAATTTTTTAGCCTTATTTGATGGCAGCACGATAGAATTCGACTTGGACTCTTGGACCCCAGCTAATTAAATTTTTTTGGGTAAATGTTTAGAGTCGGGGGCCGACCTTTCGGAGCTGCGCAGCTGACACTTCGTGCGCGTATGTTCGTGTTCGCGTTCGTTTGTTCCCGGTTTTCTCTGCATGCTGAAGCGGGGCCTGTCTTAAAAGCCGCAGAGCGCGCGAATACCAAAAACTTCTTGCATTCGACGGAGCGAAAGGGACGGGCGAGTGGTGAAGGGAAAGGAGGTGGAGAAGGAGAGGTAGCCATCGAATGCTAAGCAGGGGCTTTTGCTGCCTGCCAAAAATAGAGACGCCCCCGCCACGCCTTCGCCCACAGAGAGTACCCAACCCCCACCCTCACCCACACAAAAGCAACAACATCATCATACCACCGATACCAATACCAATACAGTGACCCAGGCAGTTCTGTGTGATTGTGTGTATGTATGTGTATTGTACATAGCATAGCTTAAGCTTTCCTTTCACCGTGGTTCAAACACTAAAATTACCACAGCAAGGGGAAAGTTTTAAATTACTTATTATAAACATTCTGAATAATACCATCAAGGACATTCAAATTTGAAATAGGTACAAATGTTTGTAAGTATTTATGTACTTACGTAAGTTATGTACTTAAACTCTCTGCAAAAAGATTTAGTAATTTTGTTTTGATTGCTTTTTGTTTTGTTTCTGTTCTTTGATATACACATTTACCACCGACTGACTTACTCAATTACATATTTTCTATCGGTGGTTGTTTTTATTCGTTCGATAATATCAAAAATGTTATAAATTCCTGTTAGCCCAAAAATAAATGGAGCATTACATAATTCTGAAACCACTGTGGGTTGTAACGTGGCAGCGACGTCGACATCAGCGCCGGCGTCGCAGCTTAGAGCTAGTCGATGAGAGGAAAGAGAGAGAGAACAGGACCAGAGGGTGGATGGAAGGAGAGGAGGAAGAAAATGCACAAGGCAGGGGGGCAAAAGGGAACAACCAACACAACAATAACAAAAGCAACAACAATTCGGCAAATGTTGGTGGCAGCGGTGCAGCGACGTCGACTGCGCTGCCCATGTGTATTTTTTGTTGTGTTTTCTGTTCGTCGTATTTCGTGTTTTCCGTTTTTCTTTTGCGCTCTGCATCCGCTGCCTCTGCCGACGTCGCTGCCGGCGACCTCGTGTATACAGTGTGTGTGTGTGCCGCACACATCTTTCAGTTGACTTCGTCGAAATAATTTTCGTAACAACGATCACACTCACTCGTTTGTGTATTGCGAAGACGGGCGGACGTACGTCGGCGTCGAAAGCGGAAAAAGCGCTAAAGCGAATAACGAAAAGTGCGAATACCATAAATAAAAGAGAGCCAAACAACTTGTTTTTTTTTTCTGTTCGTCTTGACAACAACAAAAGGAATATAAATAATACACAACGAGAGATAGCGAAAGCACCTAAGAAAATAACAACAAATGCATAAAATATTTTTGTTTTTTTGCCACCCTGCAAAAATGCAGTTAGGGTTTGTTTGTGTAAGTGTAATATATATAATATATACCTAAAACAACTATAATTTGCGTGGAATATGTGTACTCTTAAAGTAATACACCTGAAAAACAACTGCAAATTAAAGTGCGCGGATTGGCACACGCACACAAGGAAAACAGCAGTAAAAACGTGCACGTGTGTGTGTTGAAACCGGCCAGTGTGACCGTTTGCGCGTTCGGTAGCCAAAGAGAAAACAAGCCGGCTCAATACTTTTTCTTGTTTTCATTATCTATGGTTGTCAACTACTTAAAAAAAAATTTCAACAAACCTAAGTTTCCTCTATTTTGATAAGTGATTTACGTGATTACTGGAATCGTGGAAAACATAAAGCCCGGGTCCGTCCAGAACCCACCACTGAAAAACGAATACGTATACTTTTAATGCCTAAGACCGGCTTGCGCGGACAGAGTTGTCAACTGAGTTTTCCATGTTTTTTTTTTTTGTGCTTGCGTCCCTTAAAATTATTTAATTGATTCTTTGAAAAGTATCAAATACTCAGATGGCGACTCTTTTCGTGAGAAGAGGTCATTGACCAATTTCAAAATTTTGCCAACATAATAAAATAAAAATTTTCCGTTCGTGTAATTCAGCTCCTGAAACGATAAACGCAATCAAACTAAGAAAAGCCCAAGCCTGGACAAAAAGGAAAGGATATATAAACATAGTACAGGATACAAAAGCGAGCGAGTGAGCATTTAAGAGGGAAAGCGAAAGAGAAGCGATGGCCAGCGAGGATGTGCAGATCATCAGCGTCATCGATGCCAATGGGCAGAGTTTACCGCTGCACGGCAACAGTTTGGGCGGTCCCTTGGGTCCACCGGTCAAACAGGAGCGACCCGATGACGCCGAGATCCGCGAGTTGGCGGCCAAAATGAAGGAGCAACAGAAGCAACAGGCCGCCCAACAGGCGTCCCGTCAGGCGGCCATGCAACACTCGAATGGGGGCGGCAATGGAGCCGCCTCAGCCGGTGGCAACATGCAGCCTCCAATCACAAATGGCAATGGCCAGACCAGCATCATGAGCTACCTATCCCGACACCAAAAACTACCCAATGGCACCATGCAGGTGGTGCCCGCTTTGGCCTCGAACGGTCGATCGAACGGAGCCATCAGCGATTCGGGATCGGATAAGAAGTCCTCGGCGGGACCCTGTGACGAGGAGTCCATCAACGGCCACTTTGGCTGGGCGCAGTTCGGCAAGGTGTCGATACCCTACATCTTCAGGCAGTCGGAGAAGTACTGCTCCGTGCGGATGATCGAGCTGAAGCTGCTGGGCAAATACCTCAACTGCCTGCACCCGGACATCTACTCCAGTTGCACCTGCGTTCGAAGCTATTACATCACCGACGCCGAGGCGCGTCTCTTTATTGAGATTAATCACAAGCACTGCGATGGGGAATTCGGTCGGGACATCTTCAACCAGAAGGATCTGGTGGTGCGACTGAGCGATGCCTCCAAATTCTATCAGTTCCTTGACATCTGCTACAGGAAATTGGTGTCGGGTAGCAAGACCCCATCGGAGAAATGCGGATTCATTCGCATCAACAAGGAGTCCGTGGTGCCCTACACTGTGCGCAATAACCAGCAGGTTGTGCCGCTCTTCTACTTCGAGGGCGAAACTGAGAACCTGAAGACCAAGGCGGAGCTGCTCAATGGCTGGGATTTGGCCTATTTAAAGTTCTGCTGCAAGGTGCAGGGCATTCGCAACGAGCTCTTCTCCAGCGAGAACGTCGCTGTGATATCGCTGACTGACATCAAGAGTTACTTCCCCAACGGCACTGAATTCGAGGACTATTGGCCCAGCAAGGTGGTGGACTCGAATTTGCTGATTGGCAACCGGGCGAATGTCAACAACTCCGTCAACTGGACCCGCCAGCCATCGGCGCCGCCACCGAAGGTAACGAATACGGGATCATCCGGAACATCGGGCTCTTCGTCCTCGAGCGGTGGCAACGGCTTGGGCCAGAACTCAAGTTCGTCCTCGAATTCGGCGGGCGGCCAACAGGTGTCCTCGAAGTCACAGCAGCAACAACAACACGCTTCGGCGACAGCTGCGGCGACCGCGCAGCAACAGCACATTATGAAGCAACGCGCAGCCGCAGCAGCTGCCGCAGGTGCCGCCAACGGGGTGGGAAATGCGCCCAACACCTTTGGAGCAGCTGCGGTGGCGGCCTTCAATACCCAAGCGGCGGCAGCGGCAATGCTGCAGCAGTCGCAGGGCAACCGGATGCTCTCACAGGCCACCGTTCAAGCCCTGGCCAGCAGCGGTTGGATGTCCGGGCAGAGCAACCTCCAGCTCCACGCCCAGATGATGGTGAGTGCTCTAGAAATCGTGAGCCTTTCATCCCTTAACAAAGCAAAAGATAACGAAGATAATTAAGAAGAGCCACCCCCTTGAGGCCTTTCTGTTGAACATTTTGTATAGTTTTTTTTTGTTCCTTTATGATTATGCATAAACTACAAATAGTTATAAATAAATTAAATTTATTTAAACACTTCACTTAAATAACACACAGGTTTTATAACACTTATTTGTTGGATTGCATTTTTGTGTTGTTGTTTAGGGTTAAAGTAATTAAGCGAGAGAATAGTATTTATTTTAATTCCTAAAAAAAGTTGTATTTACCTAATTGGATAATGTTGTGCAAAGTAGTATATATTAGGTCTATTACCGATAGTTTTCCGCCTCTCCTTTCTTTTAATAATGGAATTATTTTGCAATCACACCCTATATTACCACACCTTTTACCGTAAAATGATGGGAGGATCCTGTAAATATAATATTGTTTATGTAGTAATATTGTAATACACTACATATTTGATCGATTTTGCTAATACTGGGTTCATTTATCAAATAAGGTCACAACTTAGAACTCTTTTTAAAAGCTAGTTTTTTTGGTTTGCTACCATCGATGAAGGAGAGCTAAGATTGGATTTTGCCACTTAAGAAACTTAAGAATTCGAAGCGTTCAGAAACGGAATGGGGGTATATTTGTTACTGTACAGAGGGTTTTCTCTAGAGAGTGCATGACCATGTTTTTTTTTGGCCTCGCTTGTACACAAACTTACATGCTGGGCCATACACACATGCATATGTATGTATGTATATAAATCGTTGCTTGTGTTAGCGTATTTTTTTCTAGCAGATTTTTTCACAGTTTGGCAACAGCGCAGCAGCAGCGTTCGACGGCATCAAAAACTAGGTCATTAGTATAGTGTGCATAGGAGAGTGGCTCCATCTCCCTCTCCCTCTTTGCCCATCCCCATCTCTTTCCTCCCCTGAAGCTCCATCTCTTTCCGACTTTAGTTGTGGCTGTGTGTGTTTGCCACAACCTGTTGATGTTGCTGCTGTTGTTGTTGTTGTCATTACAGTGGGACTTTTGTATAGTGAACCCCACCAAGTTTGTGCTATTTTTTTCAAATTAAATTTTGTTTTGTTTTGTGCAGATTACAGTATGAGGAACCTATTAAAGGATTTATTCTTTTCAAATGGTATTAATCGGGTTCCTTTGTTCCGACCTCCATAAATTAAATTTGACCTCCAAAAACAAAAATGTAAACACAAAAATACTTGCGGCTCACGTGAGTAATGCCAATCTTATCAAATCCCAAACTTGAGAACGTAATTCTGATCGTTTCTAATCGTATAAACAGTACAAAAAGTCTTAATGGTTGATAGAGGCTATCAATTGAATTGAATGTTTGTAGTATTAATTCGCACCTTCCGCGTTTCTTAAGTTGGTATGGGTATTGGTAATTGCAATCTGAATCAATAATTGTTAATTATGCACAAAAAAGTGAACTGATTGCGAAGATCTAAAAAAGTCGATTGCAAGTAACAATTAACTAGCTGGTTAGATTTATATATTAAAGAAAAAGACTGACCATTACTTAAGATTGTTTTTAATTCTGGACTTGTTTTGTGAACGTGAAAGTGTTAACTTCGTAAAAATAATTCATACTAAACCGATCATTATTTCCTTTTTGACTATTAGTGTAGTCATATTACGTTAATTTCATTATTGAAAACGTTTCTAAGATGTAGGATTTTAGTGCTCCGGGTTTTGTTAAATTTTTTTTTCCATTTTATTGTGTTTCCGCAGGCTCAGCAAACGCACGCGAATGCCAATCGTGTGGGCAGTTATCGAGAGCACATGAACAACCTGATGATGAGCGGAAGCAGTCGACAGCCGTATTCCTACAACAACCCTGCGATCTCCATGTCATCGGTGAATAGCCACAGTGGTGGTGGCGGGAACGCTCCACCTCCCCTCGTCCGTTCGGCGGCGGGCCAGAATGCCAACCACATGTAAGTTTAAATGCAGTCTATAGCCCCCTCCTATCGATTGTTCAATTCTTTCCCTCCCACTTTCTTTGTCCTTATAAATTAAAAAAAAAAAAAAAAAAAAAACGTAACCAAGAAAATATGAATTTATTGATTCTACATTTGATTTTGCCTTTCCTTATGACTATTTACATTAATTACATTTAGTACGTTGATTTTATTTGAAATCTCGGATACAAATGCGCAGACATTGTGTTTTTCAAATTTTGTTGTAATTCGTTTTTGCCAATATCAAACAAACAAAAAAAAAAAACCTCTATTTACTCTATTTTTTCGCTGTTGTTTATATTATAAATATATAATACACACATTTACTAAGTCGCTCTAAGGGTTGAGTTCTCAATGTCTAGGCTAAAATGCATTGAAAATCATTTCGATGCCCCCGAAAATCGATAAGTTGAAGGACGTAGCGAGCTTAATTAGCGGTTTAATCTATATTTTGAACAATGCTTAGTAGTCAGTTAATGTGTTTAATGTTGGGTGTAGTGGGAGGTAGTTGCATGCTAGACATTGAGAAATCGCTGCTTAAGTCCAAATTGTTTAGCCATTAGGGTGCTTCATGATTTTTGTGTGTCACAGGACTGTTGGTATATATTTAAAAATTTTGTTTCCTTTTATGCTCTTTAAAAACCTGCACCGATTTTTTTTCGAATTCTCAATGTTAGAAATGTTTTGATAAACCATACTGAAATCGGCGTTTGTGCACGCATTTTATTTGAATTTTGATCTGTGTTTTATACCGTCTTATTATATAAATAAAATAAAATCTTTGTTACTCGCATAACTTCTCTCTGCTCTTTGCTTATTGCCTTCTTAAAGTCATGCAAAGCATTCAGTAAATTACTCTTTTCAACGTGAACAAAAAATATACAATTACAAATTAAACAACGATTTTTATTATATTTTTAATCATAAAGCCAAAAATAAATTTATTCGGTATTTTTATAATATTTAATTCCGTGCAATGACTTGCCTGCTTTAATTGAGTGCGTTTGTTTTAGATTTGCAATCGATTTAGCAGAAGGCGCCGGCGTCCTTACCGAATTCGATTTTATGTTTTTCAAAATAGCGAAAACACAAAAAACCATTCCACAAAAATCCCAGTTCCCCCCATAACCTTTTTCAAAAATACATAAAAACAAACAAAATTTAAACCTTACTAACCGATTCAAAACGATAAATTTTTGCAAATACTTGACGAGCTTTTGTTCTCTCTCTTTTTATTTTCGGGTCTCCAGATTCCTAACTTCTTACGGCATGCATTAGGGTGGCTCAAGAAAGGCTCACTATAAAATAGAGCGAAATAATTAAGCTATCGGTATCGAAGGCGCGACTAAGGTGGATAAAATGAATATCGTTCGCATTGGGAAAACTCGGTTCCACCCGATTAACATCACTACCACCTACTACTCCATATTTAAGACCAGTAGAACTAAACCCAAAACACACACGCACACGCCCACATACACACCAAACACCCATTTGTACATACATCATGTTGTAGAGATCTCCAAAATACAGAGCATACATATTTATATACGTACATATATCTCTATATTTATATATATGTACGTATGTATATATATACTTGAAAGTGTCCCTAGTGATTGCATGACCTCCCCAACTTGATTAAGTTAAACAGAGTGAATGTAGAATTAAAATCTTTATAAACATATATAAAAACTTACACGTACTTGTTTCTTTTTTTTTTAATGGAATGACGATGATTTCTTATTTCGTATATTAATATTATACATTTTCCTTGTTTTGCTTTAAAACTTTTTTTCTTCTTTGTATAATAATACATTAATGTTAAAGAGGAACTACAACATATTTTGAAAAACATAAATTCGCATAATAAAAGGGAAAAACCCGAAATTATTTACCCTTAAAGTATAATTAAATATATATTTAATATATAAAAAATGCAACGAAAATACATATATACATTTATTTAACGGCTGTGTGTACTGACTACCCCTAATGTTATCACACACACACATACACTCCAAACTCTCTCACACATACATAAAAACACAACACACACATACAATGGTATGACTCACGACGTGTGACGAACGAAAAAGTTAAAAAAAAAAAATAAATAAATACCTACACAAGTAAAAAGAAAAGGAAAAAGCGAAGCAGCAGCTACAACAAAAACAACGAGAACAAGCTTTTATTGGTGGTGGCAGGTTTTTTTTAACCCCGTTTGGCCCCACCCACCCCCTCCTCCCTTACAAACACACGCACACACACACCACTAAAACAAAAAGATACAGATACGAAGTACAAAAACAGTGAAAGATCCTAGATACATTATATATAATGCGTGTACAAAAGTTGAAGTAATGTTGACTAAAAATGTATGACAATCGATTTCGCATTTAAAAACTTAGCTCAAAACTATGAGAACTTAGGCCTAGCAATAATAAGAAAAATTAAAATTAAAAGAGAGAGAAGAGCTTTTATTTCGAAAGCTTTTTACGTAACCCATTTTTTCTTTCATCTTATCTGATCTCATACATATACACGAAAACACAAATAGAAACATTTACATTAGGAATTTGAAAATAATTTAACCAGATTACAATTAGCAAACCTAAAGAAAATAATGCAAAATTAGATATAGGAATGGCCTTTTGAAAACCATTTGAAAGACATTGATTTATGTCCAAATATTTTTTTTGCAAACAAAAAAAAAAAAAAGAGCAGAGAGTAAGCCACAAAAAAATTCATTGATTAATTCATTTAAACCAAAGCAAATTAAAATCGGGCATGTTCAAAACCAACGATAACTGACTATCGCCACCTTTGCAGCAGTCGAGCGGAAAGGCCAAGGCAATCGGCATATCGATGTCTCCGATATGTTTAAGTCGGCAAAGCAGTGCAAGTGAGGATGCAGAAGAAGAGTGAACAAGCTGTTCGCAAAGAAGAAGAGAGAAGCTCGCGCCCGCCAACGAGATTTTAAATATTCAAATGCATACCAAAAAAAAAAACGATAAACGCAAATCAACCAAGAAATCACCCAGTGTTTTTAAGTCTTAGTTAGTTGATGAGGAATGACAATTACAACAAAATCGATTGAAAAATACAATTAAAAAAACAAAAACAAAAACGAGTTTTTAAAAACAGAACTAATAAATAAACAAAAGACAATTGTAAATAAAAACAAAACTATAAAAAAAAGGGGCGGTCACCTCGACTTATGTATTGTATATAATGTTTCTAGGTCAAATGTCGAGCAGTCACTGGTGCAACAACAGCAACAGCAACAGACACAACAACCGCAACAACAACAACAACGACACCAGAACAGCACATTTAACAACAACAACAACAACAACAACCATGCACCACAGCAACACTCCTCACCAAACAGCCAGAACAGTAGTAGCCACCACCATCATCACCACAATGCCTTAGCCAAAAGTTTGAGCAGCAGCAGCAGCAGCAACATGCGGAGCAACGGCAACACGAACGGTGGCAACAGCAACAGTGGCAACAACAACAACTCCAGTTCGGCGGCCGCCGTCGCCGCCGCTGCTGCTGCTGGCTATGTGCAGGCTCTCCTGGGCGGCGGCGCTGGGGCGGGGGGCGTGGCCGGTGGCGCTGGCGCCGGCGGCAATGCCTTCAACTACAACCTGCCCTCCACCCGGGCGGACTACACGAACCTGGCGCTGTGGAACCAGCTGACGCCCACCCAGCGCCTGCTCTTCAGCCAGCAGCTCAAGGGAGCGGCGGCCAGTCCCGTTGGCTCCTCTGGTGGCGGCGGTGGTGCAGCCAGCAATTCGGGATCGAGCCATGTCCTCGGAAAGCAAAACTTTCCGGCCCTGCCCTCCCTGCCGCTCGACACCGATCTGATCACCATGCTGGACTACAACAATCCCAACAAGGTTGGCAAGAGCCAAAAGTCCGGAGCCGCAACCTTCACCAAACCGATTGTCCCGCCTTTGATTCCGGACGGTTCGGGGGCTGAGATTAGCCTGACCAAAACAAGAAGAGGAGGTGGTGGTGAAGGAGGTGCAGCTGGAGGTGGAAATGGTGTGGAGGTGGAGGGGGAACTGGAGCTGGAAGTGGCGTTACCATACCACTCAACTCAAGTCAGGCTCTCGAGGACTTCGAAAAGAAGTTCACCGTGATGACGGACGAAATGCGAGCGGTGATCCAAAAGGTGCTGGCCAATCCGGATATCTCGACGTCCATTCAAACGAACTCCTCAGGCGGCGGCAGCGGCGGCAACCACAACCACAGTGGCAATCAGAATCACCTGGTGCCATCGTACATATCGCCGCCCATGTCGCCATCGGTGGGCGGCGTGGGCGGTCTCAACATGGGCATGGCCATGGGAAACGTGGCCACCCTGACACTGGCCTCCAATCCCAACGTGACGATAATTCCCCAGTTGCCGGGACACTTTCTCCACTCGCCGTCGAGCTCGTGCTCCAGCTCAAGTGCCTCGAACACGGCGGCATCCCCGTTGAGCAGTGGTGGTGGGGGGGATCGGGTGGGGCGGGATTGGCGGGATTGGCAGGAGGCGGGGCGGCGGGAGGGCCACTGTCGTCGAGCGGGGTGACGGCGGGGGGTGTTGGTCGGCAGAAGAGCGTCATTTGCTCCACCAAGAGCAGCAGCCTGCCGATGGCCATACTTTCGCTAGCCAGCCACTCTTCGGGCGGAGTCGTCGGCGGTGGCTCAAGTTCAGGGGGACGACGGAGCAATAGCGGCGGCAACCACAGTAGCAATTATGGGCGTCAGACACACAGCCAAAGTAGTAGTAGTAGTGGTAGTAATAACAGTAGTAGCCACAACAGTACACAATCCACACAACAACAACAACATCAACAACAACAACAACAGCAACCCACACCCACTGACGTAATCGATCTGTCCTCCTCCCGAAGGTCACTGGCTGCATCGGCGGCCTACCTGCAGCAGCACTCGTCGGCTGTGGCGCAGCAGCAGCAGCAGGTGGCGGCGGCAGCGGTGGCCCAGCACCGCCTGGCCGCCGCGGCCGCCCACCATGCCCAGCACGCCCAGCAGAACGGACGCAGTTCCTCCGGCTCGGGCAGCTCCGCCAGTTCCGCCGCCAATGCCTCCGGCGGCAACAACGGGACGAGCGGATCCGGCTCCAATGGCAACGGGGCGACCGGCAATGGGAGCGCCTCCGCCAATAGCGCCTCCCTGCATCTGCAGCGGCACGCGGTGCTCGCCCATGCGGCGGCGGCGGCCAATGCGGCGGACAGCGCCCAGCGGCTGTGCGTCATCCCGGAGATACCCACCAACAACATGAACCTGACCCCGTACCGGGTGCAGAAGGTGTGCGTGGACAAGCACCTGGTGCCGTGCATCAACATGAAGGCCTTCAATGACTCCGAGCAGCTGATGACCCTCATCGAGTTCCAGAAGAACTTCTTCCCCTCGGTGCCGCTGGACCACTGCAAGCGGCTGATCGAGGCCCTCGGCGTGGAGCTCTACAAGGCGAATCGGTGAGCTAAACTATTTTTCTATATAGCTATCCCCTCCTTCCATTGAATCCAATTTGAAAGAGCTTTTGCTTATTCCATCGAATTAATAATTGAAGTGATACAATCAGGGTGTTTTCTCTTCTTCTTTATTTCATCATGTCTGTTAATGCTTAGCCTATTTCACAATCTCGTATGTGCAAGAGAGAGACGTACATACTTAGAGATGGGTTTACATGGTGTTTCTTGAAGGAGTAAGGGGGACATAAAGGATGACTTAACTTAAGGAATATACAATAACGTTAACTGCTTATCAAGCAGTGCTTAATAATAGGTATATGTACATAGGGCTGCTTGCTACATAATGTAGCAAAAATGAGGGAGCTGCAAGCTAAATGTCAAAGGAATAATATTTTCAAGCGCAGTCAACCAAATAACAAGCAAATGTCAAAGAAACATTACCAGATTTACTGAAAAAGTTGCCAGTATATAAAAAGTGATTATCATTTAGTATTCACTGCTCTTTAAGTTGCTTTGTGTGAAAGGAAATTTGAATTGCAACCGCCAGAGATGGAAAACTATTGAAGAATAAGTTTTAGTAGGACTTTGTTGCCTTGGTTTTAATATAGAAGCATGTTTTCTCAAAAACTCCAACCAATGACTAATGACTAATGAATCCCTTGACTCTTCGCAGGCGGCAGGTGCAGATCCTGATGGAGTACGACCGCACCTACAACGAGAACATGCCGCTGGTGCAGGTGCGCGACATCATCAAGTACATGACGCAGCTGACCTTCATGACGCGCCAACCGGAGCAGCCGCCGGCCAAAAGGACGCGCACGAGCTAGGAATTAAGCTGGGGAGCACAACATTTACCACCAACAACAGCAACAACAACAACAACAGCAACAGCATCAGTAGCAGCAACAACTGCAGCAGCAGCAGCCACCATAATGACAACCACATCGACACCGCCACCATTAAGCAACACAGCAAGCACATCGTCAGGCAACAACAACACGACAACAGCAGTTCACACAAGATCAGCAGCCACATCAGCAGCAACAGCAGCAACAGCAGCAACATCATCATCTTCAGCAGCAGCAGCAGCAGCAGCAGCGACTTCGGGGGCAGGCAGTTCGATTAAGCGACGGGCCCTCACACCGCCAGCGAATGTGAGCAGCGGTGCAGCTGAGGTGCTGAACAGGCGGCGGGCATTGGCCCCACCGCCGGCACCACCAGTTCCTGTTCCTGCCACACCGCCGGTAACCGGAGGAGCCCTGCCCACCGCTCCACCCGCACACACAAACACCTCCAGCAACACATACGAAATGTTGTACTCCCACAACCCGCTCCACCCACTCCACCCGCACCACCCAGCTGCCCAGCAGCAGCAGCAGCAGCAGCACCACCACCACCAGCACCACCATGCGGCGGCCCAGCAGCACGAGCAGCAGCGGCTGCTGAAGAAGCGCCAGCACGCGGAGCAGACGGCCGCCAAGGGTCAGCGATCCGCGGCGGCGGCCGCCCAGAAAATGGCCGAAGTGGAGCACGCCTACTTGTCGAATCTGTACGGCAAGGCGGCGGCCAGCATGCTGAGTCCGCCGCTGGGCAACGTCCTGCCCGATTGGGAGCAGCAGAGGCAGCGAAGGACGCAGGCGGCGGCTCCGCTGTCCCATCTCCACCAGTCGCAGCAGCAGCAGCAGCAACAGGCGGCGGCGGCGGCGGTGGCGCCTCCCCAGCGCCACATAATGCATCGGAGGCATAGCGTGTGCGCCGCCGGGTTGGCCAGCCTTTCGCCCGCCTCCTCGACGCACTCCTCTTCGGCAGCGTCGCCGACGAGCGCGGCGGCAGCTGCTCTGGCCGCCGCTTCCTACTACGGCAGTGCAGCGGCGGCGGCGGCGGCTGCGTTTACGGCACCATATCAGCACCACCACCACCACCATGCGGCGGCGGCTGCGGCGGCCGCACACCATCATGCGGCAGCGGCGGCGGCGGCGGCTGCAGCGGCGGCAGCTCATCACACGCACGGCCAGCCGTCGCCCACCATTTACCCGCCCACTCCGCCGCCGTCGGCGCCGTGGGTGCATCCTTGGTACGCCGGCGATGCCGCCTTCTGAGCGAGAGATCGCACTTACTATAGATCGTAGACAGATCCAGATCCAGATCTAGATACAGATCCAAATCCAGATCGAGATTGAGATCGAGATCCCAATGGGGAAGCCAACTCAAGCCCCACAGTGTACATTCGAGTTTCTAGATTGATAAGCTATTTATTAACGAGTGGACAGAAAGTAAAATACCTAGAGAGAAAGTGAGAAAGCGAGAAAGTGAGAGGCCCTAAACATTTTTTTTTGCGAGTGTGTCTGATAGAGATTAGGTCATAAGTAGGATAACTAAAACAATTTCTGGGCATTATATGCCAACTTACCAATAATCGAGGGCAACCTTATCGATGATATATAACCTAGAGAGCTGCTGGGATTTCGTTTGGTTGGGAACAACAACAATTACAGCAAACATTTTCAAATGAGAACTCAAAGAACTGATTACATATTATTATGAAAACAAAACAGAGATCAATTCGTATTCGTTTCTTGATTCGTTCGTGGTTTAAAAGTCTTTTTCTAGCAATATTTACATACACTAACAGATATACTTGTTGTATGCTATACATATGTAAAATATAAGTGTAATGAGCCAATAAACTCGTCATATTGTAAGCAAGAAATTAAATTTCTTGCCTTTCAAAACTATGCAAAAGAACTACAAACTACCAATAGAGAACTACAAAAAGAACTAAGCGCGAAGGCAACTATTCAAAAAATTGTGAGTCAAAGAATTTTGTAAGCCAGAAAAAGAAGAAGAGATCCGTAGATCGTAAGAAATTCCATTTAATATTCACTATCTTATAATCGTGAAGCATCATCAAAAGTTCCCCATTCGAACAGCAAAGCATAACTCCTAAGCATCTGTATAATTGAACAATTTCCAAATCTTAAAAATATTACAAAAAATACAACTAAAAACTAAAAAAGATAAAACAAAACAAAATAATAAGCTAAAATGTAAACACACACAAAAAAAAAAAAACCAGAAAGTTATGTTGAAAACATACAAAAAAGAACACATAAATATAAAAAGGAAATCATTATGTTATATACAGTGTATGTATATCAAAGAATATATGTATGTGTATGAAATACTTAAATATCCGTTTTATGGATTTAAGAACATTTTTTTTTTACATAGCTATTTTTTATTGGCGAAACATAGAAATATTTATTCAACTTTGTGTAGATTGTGTTGCACTTACCTTTTTTTTTGCCACTTATCGACTATTGTAATTCAGTTTATTTAAGTGCTGTTATTAAATTATCTTGGGCAATTGTTCTACTACTTTATTATTGTGAGACACAGAGACACAGATAGACAGAGAGAGAACTAAGTAAATGATTATTATTATGATTATTATTGTTAGGTTTAAATGCCGTCAAAGTATTTATCAAAGTGTGTTTTCAGTGTTGGCAGTGCAACAGAAAACTAAAATCATAACGGAAAATAAAGAAATTAAGCAAAACTAAACAAAATCAACATAGAAAATGTTTTTACTTAATTTTACAGAGGACTTGGGAATTTTAAACTGAGAACCTGTGTGGCGCCAAAGCTTTGGAAAGCTAACTTAGCGGAAGCTTATGTCCTGAGCTTTTTACCACAGAACTTGGCTGTTATAAGGGACTTAAAAGCTTCTAAAGATTTAAGTGGACATATAAACGAATTAAAAAACAAATTCTCAAAATTATATTTCTTATAGGGAATGTACTGAAATCCGACTGTTTATAATCCAATTTTATTTGAAATAAAATAAAATTTAAAGCTTTTAAAATGCTAAATTTTTCTTTGCGCAAAAGCTTTTTATTTTAAATACATTTTTTAACAGATAAATCCATTGGTGGTTGTGAAATGGTATTCCTCTCAGTTGGTGGAATTCCTTCTTTTGAAAGTTAAAGTTTTGTGTCCAACAACAGCACGCAGAATATGGAGCTTAAAGCTTTCAGGCATTTTAAAAATGAATTTCCGTTACATTCTAGTCATTAAATTCTAAAAACCAGCAGTGAAATGTTTCAATTTAGGTAAAAAAGATTGCGAGTGTTATTAAAATGGGAGGCTCCTTGCCACAGCGATGTCCTTGTCAAATGAAGTGCAACATTTTGTGGGGGCGGCGGGGTTGGCCGCCCTTCCCGGGAAAATTCAGGACAAATTGCATGGAAACCGTGTACGCATGCATGAGCAATAAAATACTTTGGGGACCAAGGACCAAACAGGCGAAAAAACTGCAACAGACCAAAACAATGGCAACAACAGCGACACGAATGAAGTTTAAGGGAATTTCCACTGTAAGCGCAAGATAAACATGACCCTTGGGAGGCAGACTGGATGGACGGGCAGGATGGTGGCCCACTCTTACTCCCCATCCGCCGGTTTGTTCCGCGTGTGTCCTGCGAGTCCTTTGCGAGCGAACAAACGCACACGGCTGCCAGGCAAAGGGACAACTGTACAGGCCGCACAGGATGTGCGATAATAATTGAAGGGCACAACGAGTCGGGGATGCTCTCTAGAAAAACAGTGAAATGTATCCTAAAATAATCTATAATTTATTATGCTTTGAACGAGCACTTCAGCTCTTAAATATTTTGTACTCTTGAATTTATATTTAAAAGAAAACGAAATAGTTATACTTTTAAATGACTGACTTGCATTGGTCGTCATGAAGGTAACATTTAAATGTTGCTTTAACGCCCCGCTCGACGTCATTTGTTCGAAGTTCCCTCGCCAGCTGTGCCACTCCCCTTTAAGCCCCCTTCCCCCCCCCTTGCCCACCAAACACACACACATATGCAGTTGACTTTCCGCCATATTCGTTGCATTGGGGAAAAAAGTTGATCCTTTATGTTGCCTTTCGTCCTGCCCCGATCCTGTCGCATTGCCAAAAGCGAAAAGTGTAATTCCCGCAAATAAAACATGGTAACCGCCACGCAAACAAAGCAGCGAACCAACAGCCAAACAAAACAAAAACAAAGTAAAAGCTGAAGCTGAAGCAAAAAACGCGGGCAGAAATTTGTTTAAAAATATTTATAAAATATATACACAAATTGTTTATGAAGTAAAACCGCAAACGTTTCATTTCGTTGGCAGGTCAGGGCCCCTGGGAACCTCGAAATCCGATCTGTCCACCCCTGTTTGGGCCACAGCTAACTGGGATTTGTGGTCGGCAGATATGGCTGAAGGATATCGTTTCAGGAACATTAGTTCAGAATATAGTTTTAGAATATTTTTGATGTTTTGATTAGGTTATGTGATAGGTTAATGATTCTATGATATAATAATTAAAAAAAGAAAACCAAAAGAAAACAAGAGGAATGTGCACACGGTGCGTATGCGTAATTTATTTGTAATATAATGTTATAAATTACGTATCCGCAGCGTACCCATTCAATGTAAAGTTTTATGAACGTTAACAAATCACAAGTAAAGCGCGATTCATGAACGGATTATACTAGTTATCATACAAGATTTAGAAGTGGCTTTAAATTTATAAAGAAACACAACCCTTTGATAATATTATAAATTACGTATACGCATCGTGGCCAGTTAATGTAGAGTTTTATGAACGTTAACAAATCACAAGTTAAGCGCGATTCATTAACGGATTTTAGGAGTAATAATACAAGATTTAGAAGTGCTTTTCAATTTATAAAAGAACAGAACCCTTTGAAGCTTCCCTGGTTATCCTTTATGCCCACTGGAATAAAAGGTGCCGCCTTCCTCCAAGACTCCTACGATTTTGTTCTCTTTTCGGTGACTAATTAGAGGCTGACTAATTGATGAGTGGTCCCTTGGAAACGAAAAAGCGAAGGACACAAGTGATTGACAAGCAGTTTCATTGTAAGGACAATGCCCGGTCACTTCTTCATTCATTCAGTGGAGTCAGTGAGGACCGAAAAAAGAAGCGAGCAAATTGCTGCCCTTGTTTTTGCATCGCCGGCAAACTTAGTGGCCGCCCATCCTTTGTCCCTGAACCACCGTCGCCTGTCGCTTGTCGCACCACCCCACCACCCACCATCAAAAGACCAGCCCAGGGTCCACCCGCTGACCACAATGTATGGCCGGGCATTATTCAAAGGACCCACTGGCAAATGCGATCCGCTTCGCTTCGCTCGCTGGTAAAACAAGCGCGAAAACATAATGAGCATATAAATAGACAAACAATCACCAACCGAAGCTCCACCGCACTCCTCCCTGCTCTCCCCACCATGGACACCACCAACCACCCACCACCCACCACTACGAACCGTTATCCACCACTCTGCGAGGTGAGTTCAACGGTCGGCAGCGTGGGAAACCGTTAGTCGTAGGCAAGTCCTCCTGTCGACCACAACGAAAGATTTCTATTTTTATGAGCGGCAATAAATCTTATTACGCTCCTTTAGGAAAACTAATAAATTTACAATATTTTATTTTGAATCGAAGGATCCTTAACTTGCAAATGCTTTATGATTTTTCAATGCTGTTCATACTGGAATAAGTAAAAAGAAGTATACTAGTAGAGTCGATTAATTATATCATAGATCAGCGTTTAAAGCCATGGAAAAGTAATATTAAATATAAATTAAATATTAAATATTATTAAATATAATATTAAATATTAACAAGAAAAGAAAGCTGGCTTCTTTGCTTGTGGGACAGACGTATTTCGATTCAGATCGTGAAGCTGATGAAGAATATATATACTTTATGGGATCTGAGGTGTCTCCTACAATTATAATACCTTCTGCAAGGGTATAAAACTATCTTTATTATGTTTGCCCAGTCTCCTCTCGATATAATTTCCTTAGGGGTCGTCCATAAACCTCGTGACGCTCCTAGGGGGGTGGGGGGTTCATCAGAGAGTCACGGTTTGTTGTAAGGAGGTTGTAATTTGTATATGTGATGCGTCACATAGGGGGGGAGGGGGTCCAAAAATCCAAAAATTAGCGTCACGAGGTTTATGGACGGCCCCTTATTGCTTCACAAAACTATTTTCGTAAGGGTTCTCCGTGGAATACACTGTACATACATATATTCCAATGTCTATATTTGTTTCCGAAAATTTGGCAGTGCAAAGTGCTTTCATTCCATTTCGCGACGTCAAAGTTTTTCATCCGAGGTCCGTGTTTTCCTCCCCTGTTTTTCATTGCTCTTGTTTCAAATCCAAACTTTTCGCTCTCGCTCTATTTTCGCTTCCTTCGCTTTGTTTTTCACTCGAATCCGTTGTTGGTGCTCAATTTTTTGTCGGCTGTAAATCGAATTTGGACACGCTTAGATAACTTTCAGATTTATTTATTTAAAAATTTTGGGCGGCAAGCTCGGCAATTTATTGGATACATTTACTGCTCGGATGGATCGATTTTAGCGGGGCTTTCGTTTTAAAGATTAAATCAATGGGTTAAGTGACTCGTTTTTGTTCGTAGCTTTGTCTTCGCAAAATGTTGGATGCTCTGCCGAGCTTGGCAGGGTTGCAAAGTATCCTTGGGTTAGCTTTGTGCTGGCAACTCTGCTGGTGACCCAAGCTCAGACTTTTATCTTCGCAGTCGCCTCTGGTTTTAAGTCAACTCACTACTCACTTCCCCCGGACAACTGGCGAAACTTTCGATATGCCAACTGTTTCCTTAAGTGCTGCAGTCGCCCACAATTGCAATTGCTGTTTCGGTCCGATGTGTACGCATAACATTGCATTACCGCAATAGCCGACCGACCACTCGGACCTCGGACTCCCACGGACCACCCGCTCCGCAGCGTCTTACGTTTTCATTAACTTAAAATAGCAGCCGAAAGTTGTGCAACCGAAACCGGATCCCCTTCTTCCCTTTCCCAAAAAAAAAAAAAACGAACGAAAAAAGGCGGAGCTTGGGCAGTGCGAAGAGTTCTACTTCATACATAAACATTAGCCGGCGCACAATATTTTTTGATATGCCCTGTCCAGCTGTGCTCCATTTCCCCATAAGCACCCTGGCACCCTGGCACCCTGGGAACCCTGGCAACCCTGGCACCCGAAAAAGCACCCTGGCCAAGCGTAACGTGCAATTTTTATTATTATGGCCAGGAACTTGCTACATGTCAGGCTGCCTAGACACTGTTGTTAACTTTTGCCGGCCATGCTCCATGCTCCATACTCCACACGCCCCCACTTAGATCCTTCGGCTTTCCCCAAGAACAATTTCCCTGCAACTCCAACGGCTAGAACGCTTTTTCCCCATTACGCGAGTCCGCCGGATTTTAGCCTTTCGAACCCTTTGCCGTTAACAGATTCCTACCCATATTTCTAGAATACTTTTCAGACCCTTTAAGAACATGGTATCCTTTGGTGAAGTACCAAACAAACAACATAGGAAATTGGAAAGCCAAGTATTACTGGGTATATCTGGGGAGACTATACTCCGCTCCCCACGATTTCTTCATGCACTCCAACTTGTACGCAGAACTTTTGTTCGGCACTTGGACACTGCAGAGTGGACAAAGGGACACTGGGACATACGGACAAGCCGGCCAAGCGG